CTTCGGAGACGGGGGGGACAGGCGGGCCACGCAGCAGCATCAGCACGGGGAGCGGCCGGCAGAGTCGTGCTTGGGTCTTTGGAGGACCGTTCATCGGCCACGCGCAGAGGGGAGTGGGAGGAGGGGGGAGGGCTTCTCAGAAGCACCCCTGCTTCTTAGAAGGCGCGGGCCTTATCTATAGATGTAAGGCCGGCGCCTTCTAAGAAGCAGCCTCCTTCTAAGAAGCCCTCCCCCCTCCCTCCACCCTCTTGTGCGGCGCCGCCAAGCGGCGCGGGATGAAGAGGCGGTCCCCGAGATTCGAAGAAGAACCAACGCCATAAGCAGAAACTTCTGGCGCTCCGCGCTGTTTTCTTGGATCCGCGCTGGGCCCCCCCCGGGCGGCGCCTCCGGCGCCGCCCCTGGCGCGCTCCGCGCGGCGCGGGTCCAGCGCAGATCCAAGAAGTCCGCCTGGAGCGCCAGAAGTTTTTGTTTGTGCCGTCTCTCTTTCTTCTACGGATGTGGTCGAGAGGCCCATGAAACAGTCATGACGTCACGAAGCAGCCGACGTCGGATGTGTCGGGATCGGCGCAGGTCCAGGCCCGACGGGCGCATCCACCGATCCTGGCCTGCGCTGCGGGAGCGCCCGTCCAGGACCGGCGCGCGGTGGAGGGCCGGGCCCCTCTGCGCAGCTCCGACGCCCTTTGCTTTCCTCTCCTCGACGCGGGTCCTGGAGCCCGCGACTCCACCTCCAGGCATATCTTCTCTCTCGTCGCGGGCCGCTTTTTGACGGCCCCCGGGGGCCCGAGGACGGACCCGCCAGGGACGCCGGATGAGGTTGCGAGAAAGCTGGTTGTCGTGACTCTGCCGGCGGTCGGAAGCACGAACCACCCCGACCCTCGACGCCACGTTTGTTTGTGACGTGGTCTCCGGAGATCCCGACACCAGGGGCCCTGTTTCTTATCCTGGGCCTGCTTTTGACGGTCCTCGGAGGGTGGGTGGATATCATGGACGGGGCCATGACATTTCCTCGCATGCCATGGCCCAATCGTCATCCTTCCATGCGCCCCTTGTGGCGCACCATGGGTGACCGCGCACGATTTGCCACGGGCCATGATCTGCAGATCTGCGCCCCCCCCCCTCATGGGCGCCTCCCTCTTGGCACGCCCCCGAGGGTCTCGGGGCACAAAGACGGGCCCCGGGAGGAGGAGGAGGAAGAGGAGGAGGAGGAGGAGGAGGAGGAGGAGGAGGGAAGAGGAGGAGGAGGAGGAGGAGGAGGAGGAGGAGACGGAGAAGAGGAGGAGGAGGAGGAGGAGGAGGAGGAGGAGGAGGAGGAGGATGAGGAGGAGGAGGAGGAGAGGAGGAGGGAGGAGGAGAGGAGAGGAGGAGGAGGAGGAGGAGGAGGAGGAGGAGGACATGAGGAGGAGGAGGAGGAGGAGGAGGAGGAGGAGGAGGAGGAGGCGAGAGGGAGGAGGAGGAGGAGGAGGAGGAGGAGGAGGAGGAGGAGGAGGAGGAATATGAGAAGGAGGAGGAACATGAGGAGGAGGAGCATGAGGAGGAGGAGGAGGAGGAGGAGGAGGAGGAGGAGGAGGAGGAGGAGGAGGGGAGTGAGGAGGAGGAGGAGGAGGAGGAGGAGTAGGAGGAGGAGAGAGGGAGGAGGAGGAGGAGGAGGAGGAGGAGGAGGAGGATGAGGAGGAGGAGGAGGAGGAGGAGGAGGAGGAGGAGGAGGAGGAATATGAGAAGGAGGAGGAACATAAGGAGGAGGAGCATGAGGAGGAGGAGGAGGAGGAGGAGGAGGAGGAGGAGGAGGAGGAGAAGGAGGAGGAAGATGAGGAGAGGCCGAAATTCACGAGAAACGCCGCGATTGAAAATAGCAATCCGCCGTCGCCGGAGCGCGGCGACTTCGCGCGCCAGGGTCGCCGGCGTCGACGGTCGGCGACGGCAGAGGCTTCGTTTGTTGGAGAGCACCCCTCCGCGGGCCCACAGGACGGCATCCAGTGGAAGGCTACGCTGGGCGGGCCGCTCGATGCGTCGCTCAGCGCGCTAGGCGGCCCGCCGCGCCCGTGCGGGCGCCAGCCGCCGACGCTGTCGCCGCCCGTCGTCGTCGTCGTCGTCGTCGTCGTCGTCGTCGTCGTCGTCGTCGTCGTCATCGTTGCTGCTGCTGCTGCTGTTGTTGAACTCTCATTTCTGAAGAAAAAATTTGGTTGACCCCCCCCGTCCGGTGCACATTGTTTTTTTCGAGTGAAGTGCCTTTCCCGGGGCTCGCACCTTGTCTTGTATTAGGTTTTCAACAACAACGGCTCCCGCCTGATACTTCCTCACAATAAGAATCACGCTCTCGCTTGGGACTGCCTTGCAATTTACCACCGGATCGCGGCTCCCGCTTGATATTTCTTCACAGTTCATTGAAGAATCGCGCTCTCGCTTGGGACTTCCTCGCAACTTACCACCGCATCGCGGCTCCCGCCTGATACTTCCTGACAATTTATTCAGATGCCGTTCTTCGACACTCAGGAATCGCGCT